GCTTCGAACGTTTCTGTTTATGCAGTTGTTGTTCTTCGATTTCTCCTCTTTCCCTGCGGTCGATCTAGTTTTGGAGATAAGGGACACCAGACAAGGAACGAAGCCCCCTTTCTTGGGTCTCCGAAAGAGCCTGCGTGGACGAGGAGCGCCAGAGAAACAGCCATGCAAACGACCTCAGGAACATCGAGCCCCTCCCGAACCCAAACTGCTCCTCACTTCGACGTCTTGGCTGCACATCCCCCCCTGATGATGATGATGATGATGATGATGATGATGATGCTGCTGCTGCTGCTGCTGATGATGATGATGATGGTATGATGATGATATGGTGATGCTGATGGTATGGTGACGATGCTGCTGCTGATGGTATGATGACGCTGATGATGAGATGATGATGCGATGATGCTGTTGGCATGGTGACGATGCTGATGATGATGGTATGATGATGATACTGCTGATGCTGATTGTATGATTATGATGCTGATTATGATGCTGATGATTGTGATGGTAATGATGATGCTGATGATGATGCTGATGATGATGCTGATGCTTATGCTGATGACGGTGATGGTGATGGTGATGACGATGACGATGACGATGATGATGATGACGACGACGACGATGATGATGCTTATGATGGTGATGGTGATGGTGATGCTGCTGCTGCTGCTTCTGATGATGATGATGATGATGATGATGATGATGATGATGATGATGGTGCGCCGAGGCGGCGCCCCGCCCAAGCCTGGGGCGGCTGAGGCCCGCCTGGCCGCGGCGGCAGCCGGCGGGCCCAGCCCCTCCGCCGCGGCGCGCTCCGCCGAGGCGGACACGGCCGCGGCGATGGCGGCGGTGGCCCGGCGCAGCGCCGTGGGCGGCGCGGCGGCCTGCCGCCGTCGACGACGACGCTGGCCGTCTGTCCACAGCCAGCCCCGCGTGCTGCCACAGGGAGCGTCGGAGGAGGAGCGGATGGGGTTCTCGGCTCGGCCCGGCCACGAGAGGGTGTAGGTTCCCTGGCCCGAGGTCTGGGGAGCGGCCCTGGAGGTAGGAATTAGGTCGGGCATGTCCCCCATACAGGCGGGCTTTGGACGAGAAGTTGAAAGTGTACGCAAAAAATGCTCCAACAATATTCAAAAATTGTGTAAAAAATCGACGACGCCGACGCTGA